ACAGGTATCTGCTGGATTTTCAAACTGGATTTAGAAGAGGATGTGGAACAAGGGAAATCATTGCTAATATCAGATGGATCTTGACAGACAGAGAATACTAGAAATATGTTTACTTGTGCTTTATTGACAATGCAAAGGCATTTGACTGTGTGGATCATGATAAACTGGATTATATTGAGAACAGAAATTCTAGAACTCTTAGTCATGCTCATGCAGAACTAAGAGGCAGTCATTGGAACAGAACAAGGGAACACTGAATGGTTTAAAATCAGGAAAGGTGTGCCTCAGGGTTCTTTCACCATACTTAATCAGTCTATATACTGAGCAAATAATCTGAGAAATTGGATTATATCAAGAAGACATGGCATCAGGATTGGAGGAAGACTCATCAGCGACCTGATATATGCAGATGGCATAACCCTGCTTGCTAGAAGCAAAGAGGATTTTAAGTGTCTACTGATGAAGATCAAAGACCACAGCCTTCAGTATGGGTTCTTTACCTCAATGTAAAGAAAACAAAAATCCTCACCACTGGACCAATAAATAACATCATAATAAATGGAGAAAAGATTGAAGTTGTCAAAGACATTGTTTTGCTTGGATCTACTAAAAACACTCATGAAAGCAGCAGTCAAGAAATAAAACAGCATATTGCATTAGACATATCTATAAAAGCCCTCTTAAAAATGTTCAAGAGCAAAGATTTGGTTTGAGGACTATGGTGCACCTGACCCATGCCATGGTATCTTCAGTCACCTCATATTCATGTAAAAACTGGACAGTGAATATGGAAGACCAGAGAAGACTAAAACATTTGAATTATTGGTGTAGGAAAAGAATATAGAAAGTCACGTGGACTGCCAGAAGAGCAAACAAATCTGTTTTGAATGAATATGGTCAGATTGTTCCTTAGAATCAAAGATGGTGAGAGTTTGTCTCTCTCATACTTTGTACATGTTATCAGGATGGACCAGTCCCTGGAGAAGGACATCATGTTTGGTAAAATGGGGGGTCAACAAAAAAGAGGAAGACCCTCAATGAGATGGATTGGCACGGTGACAATAGCAGTGGACTCAAGCAGAGCCATTGTGAAGATGGCTTAGGACCTGGCAGCTTGTACTTCTGTTGTACATAGAGTCATCATGAGTCGGAACTGACACAATAGCACCTAGCAACAACTCTTATATACAAGTTTAATTCTGTAGTTACTCATACATAAGGCCTTTCCTTACCCTCCTTTTCTCCCCATCATACTAACAAGAAAGAGCTCTCTGGTTAAGCATTGTTTCTATCTGTAAATATCTAAGGGCTTTTTATCAGTTGAAACAAAAATTACTTCTTGTTATAGCTGCACTGAACAACACGCTTCTGAACATGCACAGTCATGTCCACTATTGAACCTTGAGCTTAGTAGGTGTTAGTAATGTTGGTTGGATTGTTGTTGTATTTTGTCTAGAAGGCAAATACCCTGGTGGAGAAATGGAAAAGAGCTGAACCAAAACTCAGTTTGCCACGGGACTGGGGATTCCCTTTCTAGACATGAGGGGCTATAACTTTCCACAACTCCTGAGTCCTCTGGTGCTAGGCAGTATTTGGCTTTACCACACAGTTTGCATTATCAACTGGCATCCCAAATCTGGAACCTGGTCTGGGACCAAGGTAGTTCAGTTATCACCCATTATGTGTCCCAGCAGTGATTAAGGAAGACTGAAGAATTAAGACCTTTGAACTATGGTGCTGATAAAAAAGTACTGCAGAGGAATGTACAAATCTTTCTTGAAGAAGTGCAGCCAGAATGTTCCTTAGAAGCATGGATCGTGAGCCTTCACCTCATGTACTGTGGATATATTATGAGGAGGGACCAGTCCCTGGAGAAAGAAGGCCATCATGCTTGATAAAGTGGAGGGTCAGTGAAAAAGAGGGGGCTCCTCGGCTGGAGAAAGATGAAGCGTTTTGCTCCCATAAAGATTTACAGCCTCAGAAACATTGTACAGGGTCGCTATGAGTCGGAACAGACTCCATGGCACACAGCCACAACCTCAATGAGATGGATTGACATTGGCTGCAAGGTTGTGCTCAAGCATAGCGCTGGTTCTGAGGATGGCGTGGGACCAAATGGTATTCCATTCTCTTGTACAGTGGGTTAGAGTTGAAACCATGTCACAGTTGCCTAATAACAACAACAATGTGTCCAGTGGTGCACCCAGCCCTTGGTACACCTCTTTCAGGACAATGAAAAGACAAGAGCCTAATTCCTTCTTTTCTCTGGTGACCTAAAAGTATGAATGTTTTGCAGTATAGTATATTCTTCATTAACAACCTTCAATATGCAGATGATACAACCTTTCTTGCTGAAA